CAAACTTTCATCAGACACTTCAGTGGCCTTGGACATTAAGTCAGAAAACACTAACTGAATTCAAGGTTCTGCTATACATTCATATCTAAAGCTTATTTGCCTTTTCATTTAAGTGAAATTTTTTAAATTGAGATTTCCAATTTTAAGCTTTGGGTGTTAAGAACACTCACAGAAAACAGGTAACTACAAACACACCTGCAGGTACAAAAATATTCTTTACCATTTGGAGGAACAAAGTATTACAATAGCTAGAACCGCCCTCTACTGGACAGATTTTAAAAGTACTTAAACAGCTCTTCGCTTAGGTGATCCTACCAACAACTAAATAAAGTTTATTTACTTAATTTCAGAAAACATGCGTCTATATACATACACAGTCAATCTTATCCCTGATGACACCGAGAGCTTGAGTGATGAACCGGCCAGCAGAGCAGCAGTTATGAAACCCCTTCCTACTCCAGTCTTCTGTTTTACAGAAACACTATTCATGGGAAAGTTAATAAATCTTATCTACACTATAACAGCCTTTCCTCTGACCACAAGATAGGCTAGCTATTGAACACTTTTTACAAAATTCTTCACCTGACCACTCAGGTATGCACAGGGCATAGAGCAAACGTCTGAATATAGATCACAATCTGACTCAAAGCTTGGGCAAGCTGATTTGCACCCAAGGATTCACACTACCTGAAGAAAGACTTTGCTTTTTATTTAAAGCTATCCAAGAAGATTCCATACAAGAGAATGGTTCAATCCTGTGTACTGAAGCAGAGAGCACTAGCCAATTAGCACTTAACGATGAAAATAAAACGCTCTCTGCTGCAACTCCTGCACATTAACACTAAAACATTATCTAGCGAAACTACAAGGAAGTTTAAAGAAAGTTTTAAATCAGAAAGGTATTCCTTCTTACCTAGTTAAGATGCTTTGGATAAAAAGCTTACATCCAATATTTTTCCATCCTGTGTCCTGAAAAAACCTACAAGACTTAGTATCAGACATATGGTTTGTTGACTCAAGCTTTCAGTCTCAGCAGTATAACTTGTTTATTATGTAAAAAGTATCCATCAGTTCAGGCTCAGGGCTTAACTTCAGCACTTCCAGCGTTTACCTTGCATCACCTAATATGCTTCTGATGAGACCATTAACCACCAGAGCCGATTCACAATCGCACTTTTCCTGGTCCAGTTCCCCTCTTGTGCACAGCTGCACACGCCACTAGGCGTGTCCTTACACCCTCTGACCGAAATTCAACTCATCCCTTTTTTGCTACGTCAAGAAAGGTTGGTGCTTTGTATTCCACTTTTATTTCACCTTTGTAAGTCCCTTCTGGCAAATCAGCAGAATTTCATCCTTTTTTACTGTCTTTTCTGAAAGGCAGTAAGCAAAATACCTACCAAGAGAGAAGATTTACTAGCCTTGTGTTTTTAAATGAAAGACTTCTCCTCGTGCCAAGTCTGCCTGAAGAATGAGATATGGCCAACTAACTCTCCAAATTAAGAGCTTTCTGCATGAACTCTTAAGCCAGAACACTAAGAGGTATACTTTTACCACATCACCTAGAATGATTTTTCCTGACAACAGTATGTATAATAAAACACAAGACTGTCACAACTTTTGCAACAGATTTCTGACAGCAGATATACTTGGGACATAGTCTTGTAGCACTTCAGATGCACATCAGTCTAGATTAATACATAAATTCCATGGATAATTGCAGTTTGGGTCTTTGACTGCTCTTCATGCAACAAGAAATTAAGTAGCAGGATGGAGAGTTAGCCAGTAGGAAACAGTAACCAGGAAAAAATAGAACAGAAGCTAACCTAGGGAAAAAAAGATAATACAGAGAAGGCAGATGAGTTTTTAAGTTGACTGAAGCACACATCAGCTTCAGTCATACTAATATTAGAAGATCTAATGCTGTTTTAACACTATATAACAAAACAGCAAAGCTCATTTGGAACAAGTGAAAAATACTGTACAAAGAAAAAACATCATACTAGATGTAACTTAAAATTTTCATCTTATCAAGACACTAAGAACAACACCTAGTAGTGCAAACCAACTTCGATGTTAAAAATCCCTCTTTAAAATCCCTTTAGAAAGATTTCCAACATACAGGTCTGCCTAAGTCACTGGGTTCAACTGCTACAAAAGAGAAGACCAGCTCCTTCTGCTCCTTTTCCTTTTGCTTCAACCCTCCCTTTCAACTACATACCTGATCAACACAATCGCAATCCTAATACTAATGTACTGATTTCACCTCACACCCGAAAAAAGAAAAGTTAATTTTCACGTTTTGGAAGCAACGTACCAGCTATTTTATCCTATGATAAGCTCTATTCTACGTTTAACAAGCAAAAATCCTCTTTCTCCACAAATACTTGAAAACTTCAGTACTTGACCACACAAGAAAGAAAAACATCAACTGGAAATTCACTTAGTTTAGTCAAGGACTGTTAACTCTGATTTCAGCCAAATCGTACTAACAAAAGTTAAGTGATATCACTATGTACTTTATGACAGTGAGTTCCACACACATTCAGTATTTACCTTTCTGCTCAGTTACACCAGCAGCACTCTAGAGACACTGAAATGACAACATTTTAAAACGAATCTAACAATTTGTTTGGCTACAGATTACATCAAGTTTTTCTTTTTTTAAAAAACACTTTTCTGATTGATCTTCTTCAGTGATAAAAATCTCACTAACTTTCAACCCAAAACACGTTATCTGACAAGATCCTATTCGTGTCAGCTACGCATCATGATCTGTGTGTCGTATGGAGTCCGCAACAACAGACAGACAGAAGTTTTCACATTTGGGAATAAGATTTTTATTTAGAATAAATAAAAATTTAGAATTTTTATTCCTTTAGAATATCCCTACTGCAAAAAAAAGACATCAAGAATTGCATCATTTTTCTCCTCCGCTAAGTTTCCTAACAGACCAAGAGAGAAAACTATGTTAAATATTCACACTTCTCAGTCACGCACTCTTCAATTATTTATCTTCATCCAATTAAGTTAGTTTTCCAAATAAACTGCTATATACCCAAAGCAATGAACTGGATATATGCAGAATAACTAAAATGCTGCAGGAAGGTAAGACAAAATGAGAACGATCAGCACAACGAAAGTAAATGTTACAACCATCTAGTGTTAAATCCATACAGAAGCCTATTTTAAAAAACATTCCAAGCTTCAGGAAAAAAAAACATTTTTTTCCTATTAGTAATGTTGCCTACAAAGAGACCTAAGTCCATTTTAAACAGAAGCCCTTGAAAAATTCCACTCAGCCAAAGTTTGTATTAATATTCTAATGATTTTGCTCATCAAAAATTCTGATTACTTGAACTAAAGAAATCACCAAAGCTACTGACCGAAAACTAGCAAAGAGTAAATCTCTAAAACAAGAGTATCTTGTGACTGGGTAACAGAATGTACATGCAGTGAGCTTTCTGCTAGACTCCAAAGTTTCTAAAATAAAATGCATCATCAACAGGCAAGCAAAGCCTTTCCCTCTTTTTCTACAAACACCATCACCTTCAAAGTTATGAATTGATCAAGGCGAACTTTTCTAAAATTTGGTTTGACTTCTAGAGCAGCCATGCAAAGAACTGAACACTGACCAAAATATTTTTAAGCAACAGCCTAGAAGCCTATTACCATATTGCAACAGGAAACATCACTGTGGACATCTGCATTTTCAACAAGCCAATTTGCCATGATTCGTGTATCTTTAACCATCAGAATTTATGCAACTTAAACTGGCTCTTCTTTAACAAAGCAATTAATGCTCACTGGTCTGGACACTCATTTTACTTACAGCCTTTTAAATGGATTCAACATTTTAAACAAAACAAGGAGTATCTTTTAATATTTTGATATTTATTTTAATAAACTATACGCGAGCTTGGTTGTTTTTTGCATAAAAAACAAATGCATATTTTAGTCAGCTGGCCTAAAGAATTAGTACTAAATTTTCTGCAACTGAGCAAAGTCTTTAGCTTTATGTTAACAGCTGAATGAAAACCTTCAATTCAGTGCAAGACAAGAGCCAAAAGCAAGTCATTACACTGTAGGAGGGGTACAAAACTACTTGAATATTTAATACCATTGAATAAATGATCTGAACACCCACTGTCAGAACAAACAATTTTATTTTGGTCACCACGGGCCTAAAAAAAATTTAATAGAAATAAATGAGGTTTAAAGAATGGTTCTATCAGAAGCATGAAGAGTTTCCCATGTACGAGGGCAAAAAAACCAAAAAGATAGTCTTAAAAAAAGGTGCATTAAAATGAACATATGGTACATCACGTGACAAAGTCGTTTTCTCTTTCTTCCTCAAACAGAAAGATAACATCTAAAAGGCCTTTTGGTTTTAAATATTGAATTTTATTTATAAATCTAATTTAGTCTGTAGAAGTTTCTACCACATGATGAACTGAATAAAAGAGATCAGCAAAATTCCAAAGGAAAAAACTGATATTTACTTTGGATAGTATTAAAAGTCTTAGGAGATGTAATTAACAAAAACAGGTGTTGACAAGGATAGAGAGAGTCATCCTTCAGGGCAGAAGATTACCAAAAAATTTATTTTCCTATTAGTTAGAGGTTATCAAGTTATTTGACTAAGCTTTTATTACATTTCTTATACCTCCCTGACTGAAACATTCATGATTAAAGACAGAACACTGACTAGGACAACACAATATTCTTATCCAACATGACAACATATCTACAGTTTTTCAATCTTTTTTCAGGTGAGACTAATCACTTTGTTTAATACCATTAAGTCAGTACCAGAAAACAGACTATTCAAAATGGTAAGTTTATAGCCAAGGGAATACATATGCAAGAACAGGAAATATCGAGGCATCAAGAAAAAAACCTTTCAACATTCAAATTATCATATACAAGCCTTGTGAAAAACCAAACATATATGCACAATTTAAGTTCTATGGCAACCCACAAAAATATGAATAGCTACTTACCTACTACTAGCCCACATTCAGAACAGATCATATCACCAGCTCTGTAATCCTCTACCAAAATGGAATCTGGATGGTTTGGGCAAGTCACTCTTGGGAGTACATCCAAACTAAGAAAAAAATTAGAAGCGTTAATCTTTGGTTATCTTTAATCAAACAGGTTATATATCCAAAATTGACTGCAAGTTCAGAAGAGCAAAACTGCAGTAATAGACATATAAAGATATATTCCTTTAATGATATTCATTATTCACAGTACAAATGAACCACTTAGTACTGTCTATTGTCCTCTAAAGGTTTTATTTTTAAATCGAGAGTACTAATACTAAGAAAAATTTAATAATACAGGATTTATAAAGATATGAATTACAGAAAATAACATTAATCCGAAAACTTGAAACTCACCTTTTATTTAAATGCTCTAACACTACATTTCACAAATGTGACTTAATACATCTTAAGTTATTTTTTTCTCCTGAATTATCTTGCATCAGAGAGACAAAACTTTTCAAAATTAAAGCATTAAAGTTTTAAGTAACAGATGTGCTTGTGTTCTACTCACAGTCCACTACTAAATAAGACTCCCCAAAAAGTTAGTGGGGATTGCTAAATCACCATTCTCAGTCGTTCTTATCAGATCAATATCGATTCATTAAGTAGTGCAGTAAACATCATTTTTAGGAAATAACTGACACTACTATTGCATTTTTATTTTCGAATATTTGAAGAAAAAGTCTACTTTACACCAGGCTTACTAGGCTTTGTAAATTAAACATAGCTCATTAATTGTGAGAAATGCAATGAAAAGCACGAGAGAAACGTAACGAAAAGCAGTATTAGTAAAATGAGATAAATCAATGAATCAGTTCGCAAAAGGGATTATATGACAATGGCTTTTCATAACAGGCAACTGTTTCTTCTACAGCTATACATCTCCAAGAGCTAGAAAAACCAGAAAAAAAAAAAAATCTATCTAGCATTAACACTGTTTAACACACACATACACACACAACAAATTTGGTTACTGACCAGAGTAATGACCAGTTACTTCTAACCAAACATTTCAAATTTAAATACCTCATTAAAACTAGGAGTGAATGTACAGTCACTCTGTAAAACAATTATCATTTCAAAATCAGAATCTCTGTTTAGAATTGCAGTTTTTAGATACTGAACAAAGCCATTTTCCTTGAGTTAAGGAACAGAGGATACGGAAGTTGAACACCAAACAGTTTCTACTGAGCACTTGCCAACCTAAAACTCATAGTGCCTAAGAATAACTATTAATCCTTTCAATTGTAGAAAACATCCTATTAAAAAGTTAAATGCATCTGACTTCTCTCTTTCCCACTAGTCCATTATTTCAGCTAAGTGGATATAGTAAGATCTCTCTCTATATATATATATATATTTTTTTTAAAGATAT